GTTTTCAGTAACAATCATATATAAATATGGTAATATGACTTTTAAATGGCAATCGGTTTTAAAATTTTCAGATTTTTAATTATCTTATTATTGATTCTTCTGAGAAAGATGGTCAAAGAATCAGTAGAGGGTACTTAACTCTTTATTAAAAATACTTGTTTTCTCCCAAGAACAGTGGAAGGGATGGAAAACAAGCAGGTTGGTAATGTAATACAATTGATTACATATTTAACTTCAATTTATGGAATCTTGTGATATTTGAAAATCTCCAGGCACCTTAGCTTAACCATAAGATGTGGCAAAGACTGCTAATTATTCCCCTATATACATTTTCATTTTAAAAAAGATTTTGTTTATTTATCTTTAGAAGGGAAGGGAAGGAGAAAGGGAGAGAAATGTCAATGTATGGTTGCCTCTCATGTGTCCCTGCTGGGAACTGGCCTGCAACCCAGGCATGTGCCCTGACTGGGAATTGAACCTCGATCCTTTGGTTCGCAGGCTACGTTCTCATTTTTCTAAGTAATATGAACTACTAGCAGGGCATATGACATCCAATTAGGGAATATATTTTTTAGTCTTCCCCACTTGTAGGTGTGAGCATGCAACTCAGTTCTGGCTAACAGATGAACAGAAGTGACCTGTACAAATTTTGGTCCATGTAATTAAAAGGAAGCTGTCTGCTCTTCCCTGGTATTTTTCTTTCTTTCTCTTCTACCCCCTCTCTTCCTCTCTTCCCACTGGCGGGGAAATGGTAAGAAGTAGAGTAGCCACTGTGATTCCAGAGACCGAAACCATATTTTAAGGATTCTCGAGCTGTCTTACCACCTGGCTACTCACCTCTAAACTGTTATATGAGTGAGAAATAAACAACTCTCTTATTTAGCCGCAATATTTCTTGGTCTCTGTAACAACAGCTTATCCTATACAATAACTAATTTAGAGGCCAAGCCAACTCTATAAGGGCTATTGTGATTTAAACACTCCTCTATTTGGTAAGTCAGAAAAATCTCTTAGTGTGGATACATATGAATGTTTATACAAAGCAAAAAGCAGAATAAGCAATCCTGAAATGAAACTCTGGATCTGTACATCACTAACTCTCCATTCCCCTCCCCCATCCCCTGAAAGCCATCCTACTTTCTGTCTCCATGAACCTGACCACTCTAAGTATCTCATGAAAGTAGAATCATCTTTTGCGACAGTCTTATTTCACTTAACATCTCTTCAAGGTTCGTCTATGTTGAACCATGTGTCAGATTTCCTTCCTTTTAAAGGCTGAATAATATCTCACTGTATGCATATATAATATTTTGTTTATCTAAATATTCTGTTAAAGTGGTTTTACATGAACTGATTTTGTATGTTAACCATTCTTGCATTGCAGGAATAAATCTAATTTGGTTAAGGTGTGCAATGCATGTAATATGCTGCTGAATTAAGTTTGCTAGTATTTTGTTGAAGATTTTTTTATCAATACCTGCATGGGATATTGGTCTAATTTTCTTTCTTTTTTCTGTTATTTCTGTCTTTGGGATGAAGGTAACATTGGCCTCCTAGAATGAGTTATGAAGTGCTCTCCCCTAATGAATTTTGGGGGAAGAATGTAAAAAGGGTTGGTGTTTTTTCTTATTTGAATGTTTGGTCAAATTCATCAGTGAACCCTCTGGGTCCTGTACTATCATTGTTGAGAATTTTCTGATTACTCTCTCAATCTCTTTATCAGGTATAGATCTATTAGATTTCCTATTTTTCATGATTTAGTCTTGGTAGGTTGAGTGTTTCTAGGAATTTGTCCATTTTATCAAGTTATTCAATCTGTTGGTACACAACTTCTCTAAGGTTGTCCAATTGCTTCTCTTCTTCTCTTGCTCTACTCTCTTTCTCCTTGGTACCTTCTTCTCCTATCACTTCAAATATCATCTCTACAAAGACAAACTTCCAAATCTGTATTTCCATATGGTACCTTTTTCCAAAGACCCACACTTCAATTGCTTGTTGGTCATCTTCCCCTAGCTAATCTTCTAACACTTGAACCCAAAATACCCAAATAAAACAAAATAATAATTTCATTTACCATAATCAGCATTCTCTGTTTCTGTGGCTGCATCATCAGTCTTCCAGTTAACCAGGCTTAAAATCTTCAAAGTGCTAACTATGGTATTTAAAAACTCAGGTCTGACTTAAGAACATTTACCTTTATCTTCATACTAGAAGTTTGAGAACCTGTACATATCATCTTATTACTAAAGATTATAAGTGAGTAATAACTAGTTTGCTTTACTTCAAAGTTCAATGTCATTTCTGGGAGTAGATACATGAGTGGAAATTAGTGATATACATTTAGTACTTTTGATTCTGCAGGTTCAAAAACAATGTTTCATAAAATAAAATCCCAAGAAATAAAAAGGAAGTATAAATGTCTTCTCACAAACATGTTTTTTAAAAAGTTAAAAAATAAATAAGAATAAAATATAAAACCCAATGTCAGAACTCTTATTTTACTATATTACAGGTATACCGTATTTTATTTTGCTTCATTGATATTGCCTTTTCTGCAACATCGAGCCAAGACCCTCTACCAGTATAGATTACAACTCACTGAAGGCTCAGATGAATTTACTGAATAAATCTATCTGATGTATGGCATTAAGTTTAAGGTGTAAAGTGTGTTAATTTGAAACATCTATATATCATAATATTATTAACATTGTAGTGTTATCACATTACATAAGTATTGTAAAATTATGATCGTCTATATTCTGTCTCATTTACTACTTGTTTGTACTGTTATTTACTACACACCTATAACCTTAACCACCACTAATCTTATCCACCACTCCCACCCCCATGCTATCCCCTGGTTAGCACCATTTAACTGGTTTTTATATATTTGACTTCTTTAGATTTTATGTGTGTGATACAAAATAAACCCTTCTATCTTCTGGCCACCACCACCTCCTTCTGCAAACTTATCTTCATTTGTGACTACTTTTTCCTTTCATTCCCTCCGGTTATTAGAGGAATAATGTTTCTTTTCTTATTCATAGTAAAATTTTCAACCTAATCCAGACCAATGGGTTGGCCTGATTTTCCTCTTACCCTTTCGTCCTTTAACTATTTCTTCATCCTATACACTTTAACTCAGATATGTTATCCACATTCAAGGCTAAAATAAAACCTGTTGCTCTGAAATGTGTATCTATAATCTCCAATTCAAAACCCCACACAGATTTCGAGATCCATATCTGTAACCATGCACTAGATGTTTTCATCTTCATGCCCCATAGGTAACTGAATCTAATAACTGAAAATTACACATTTTATTTCTCTATCCCCAAATTTTCACCTTCTTCCCCATTCTTGGTCTCAGTTGTCAGCACACCAACTGATCCAGCCTTCTATTCCAGATACTTGGCTATAATTCTAGACTCCATGCCATACCTTCAGAAATGGCCTGCATGCAGCTGTCACTATTTCTATTCTATCTCCTAAATAAATCTTAGATTTCTTCCCCATTCTCTCTTAATACTAATTTAACTCCTTTTTTTGGTTGCTTGAAATGAAGACCACTTATTTTTTCTTTTAAAAATGGAAGTACAACATATATACACATATATTAAAATATGCTTATTAATAGATATTCATGTATAAGTGTATATTAAAGTACAGCCCTGGCCAGGGTGGCTCAATTGATTAGAGTGTTGTCCCTTTCCCACAGACTGAAGGGTCAATGTCTGGGTTTGACTCTTGGTCAGGGCACATATCCAGGTTACAGGTTCAATCCTTGGCTGGGATGCATATGAGAAGGTAATCAATTGATGTTTCTCTTACATTGATGTTTCTCTCTTTCTCTCAAAGCAATGAAAAAATGTCCTCAGGTGAGGATAAAAAAACAAATAAATAAAGTACATAAAGCTCAACTTTATGGTTGCCATGTACTTTTAAATTCCTGGCTCTTAGAACATTGGTTAGCGTCGATATGTTTGTTTAGCTGAATTCCACATTATTCTCTATCCTATCTATTTTCTATCCCACAATCTTTTGTGTAATTATATATTAAGACTTTTCTAAAGCATATATGTATTAATCCTTCAGTAAATTTTTAGAAAGATTTTATTTATTTTTAGAGAGAGAGGAAAGGAGGAAGAGAGGGGGAGAAACACCAATGTGTGGTTGCCTTTCTTATGTCCCCTACTGGGGAACTGGCCCGTAACCCAGGCACGTGACCTCACTGGGAACTGAAGTAGCAAACCCCTGGTTCCTAGGCTGGCACTCACTCCACTGAGCCACACCAGCCAGGGCTCCTTCAGTAAATGTTGACTGAAGAAAAAATACAGTACAAACTACTTAGTCACATTAATCATGACAGGGCCCTAATATCCTTTCACAGTTTCTTCTCCTGGACTGTTCTGACTATTGTCCTTTTGGAACCATAGGATCATCTCATAGTACACTGTGTACAGGGGTAATTTTACAAAACTGAAACTTCTGGTAAGTCACTAAGATTTTACTGAAATAGCCTATTTTTTCCTATTTTAGTTAAAGATGAAAAACTTATATATAACAAATTTAGTTTTAGGATAAAACTAAAATTTAAAATTATACTGTCTTCCTGCTACCCAAATAACCAAGTAAAACCAAAAAAACTAGCTAAGATAATAATACTTCAGTTTGTAATTTTATGTAAGAATTATTTACACCTGAAACTAATATAAAATACTGAAAGTCAACTGTAATGAAAAAATAAAATAAAAAATAATTTACGAAAGAACATTTGTCATCTATTATACATGATTCCTTAAAAATGATCTCTTCCCACAGGTCACAATGTTTTTAAAAAAGAAAACATAAAATTCTCATATTTTATCCATTAATATATCCCCATGTTTCAGTAATCATAGTTCTTCAAAGCACTGTCTAACAATATCATATTTTTCAGTAACAAGACTCTCAAATTTCATTTACCAGGATACATAACTTTCAAAACCAGAACCACATACCTTTTGCTGTAGTTCTTTTACTGCAGAATCTCTATCCATGCATGCCTGTCGGAAAGCTTCATAAGCTTTATTGAGTTGCTCACCAATGTTTTTATCCATTTCTCTCTGTTCTGTAGCATCACTATCAAGGATGAAGTAAATAACACGTCTGGAAAATAATCAGAACAATTTACAGCTACTAAGTTATATAAATCTCATTTTTTAAATACATCTTAAATACAATTCTAAATGGTTTGTCATGAACATTATAGCATCAAGTACTATAAAGGTTTATAAAGACATAAAAGTATCATCTAAAATCCTAATAATAAATACCATGAAACTTTAATTTCTATAATTTTAAAATATTCTTTACTAGTGCTTAAGGAGCAAGTGGGAATCCAGTTCATAAAGATGCTACTTTGAAAATAGTAATCTGTAAGTGCAACCTGAAAATGGAGAAATATAAAAGTATTCTTAATACATTACAAAAATGCACAACAGGATTAGCAATGTGGGAAGAGATTTCTTTTTACTAAACGAACAGTTACTCCCTTACAAGGTGAATTTTCACTACACTGTATTAGAGCAAAATTAAATACATAATAAATGTTTGTGGATGGAGTTCGCACTGTTGTTATCGCGGAGCAATTAAGACGTGTGAAAATGCTCTTATTTTAGCACAAAACCGAGGGAGAGCTGCTGTGGGACTATATATTTAAAAAGAAAAAACACATCCTCTACTCCCTATTAGTTTTCTAACCTCCCTGCTGTTTCTGAACTACAGGTGATTTACTCAGTGGAGATAATTTGGTTTTATCACCTCAATTTGCGTAACATCTCTAACCACATTCCTGGACTCTGAGCAGAGGACTACCAGGACCGATTCCTCCTGTCCAGCTGTAAACACCTCACCACAGGACCTTTCTCTTAACCCTCTGAAAGCCACAGAAGAGACAGAGTGCCCTATAAGTTATAGGGGGTTTCTGGAGTACCAAATTACTTAGCTTTATAATAGGAAACCCTTCATAAGCTCTGTTTCCAATCTTTCATAACATCTTTCATTTTATCTTTGGGTACACAATGCTTTAAAAATGTTTAGTATTTTACATAAAGATATAGTTTATATAGCATAAAATCACCATTTCAAAGTGTGTATTTGGGTTTTTTTAGTACATTCACTATGTTGTGGAACCATCGCCATTACATAACTCCACTTTTCATCAGCACATAAAGAAACCTGTACCTATTAGCAGTGAGGCCCAACCCCCTTTTCTCCTCATTCCCCGGAAACCACTAGTCAGATTTCTAATGCTATGGATTAGATTATTTTGAACATTTCATATAAATAGAATCATACACTTTATGGTCTTTTGTATCTGGCTTTTTTTCACATAGCATAAAATTTCCATGTTGTAGCATGTAATAATTCTTCATTGCTTTTTATGTCTGAATAATATTCCACTGCAGATATACACTTTATTTATCCATTCATCAAATGGAGATCTGGATTGTTTTCACTTTTTGGTTATTTTAAATAAAGCCACTATTTGTGTAATACATATTTGTGTGAACCTGTTTTTGATTCTCTTAGCTATATACCAAGGTGCAGAACCGCTAGGTTAGATGGTAATCCTCTTTAACTTCTTAAAGAACTGCGAAAACTGTTTCCAAAGAGGCTGTATCATTTTATATTTCTATTAGCAATTATATAAGTGTTTCAATTTCTTCAGCTCTTAATAGCAACATTAATTGTCTATTTTTAAATTATATGCATCTTGGTGGGTGTGAAGTGGTGCCTCAACATAGTTTTGATTTGCACTTCCCTAAAGATGTTAACAATCTTTCCATTGTTTATTGTTTACTTGTATATCTTCTTTGGAGAAATGTCTAGTGAAGTCCTTTTCCCACTTTTTAATTGGGTTGTCTAATAGAGACTTAGCAGATATATATTTATAAATATATACACATGCATATGTATGTATATATATATGTATATAATTGGCAAATATTTTCTCCCATTCTTTAGATTGTCTTTTCATTTCCTGATGGTGTCCTTTGACACACAAAATCTTAAATTAAAAAAAATGTTTTTCTCAATAAGTAAACTAGTGTTTTAATTTTTTAATTTATTGATTTGAAAGAGAGAAACATTGATTTGTTGTTTTACCCATTTATGCATTCTTATATGTGCTCTGACCAGAGATTGAACCCACAAAGTTTTATATTTTTTCTTTTGTTACTTATACTTTCTGTGTCACATCTAAGAAAATACTGCCTGACTTCCAGCCAAGATGGAGGTGTAGGTAGATATACTGTGCCTCCTCACACAACCAAAAGAAGGACAACAAAAAATTTAAAAAACAAAAATAGAAAGAACTGCCAAAAAATTGAACTGTATGAAGTCCAATAACCAAGGAGTTAAGGAAACATTCATCCAGACCTATAGGAGGGGTAGAGATGGGCAGCTGGGGTGGAGAGGACTCAAGGCAGGGCAGGGGCTAGAAGACCAGGGCAGGTGTGGTAGCTGGCAGACCGGGCATTCCTGCATTTGGGTGTGGATAAACCAGGAGGAACGACTGGGGAGTGAGACAAGACTGCACAACCCAGGTTTCCAGCCCGGGAAATAAAGCCTCAAAACCTCTGACTGAAAAAACCTGTGGGGGTTGGGGCAGCAGGAGAAACTCCCAACCTCAAAGGAGAGTTCATTGGAGGGGCCTATAGGGTCCTGTAATATACACAACCCGCCCAGGAATCAGCACCAGCAGAATCCAAATTGCTTGTGGGTAGTGGAGGAAGTAACTGAAAGCCTGTGCAGAGCTGAGCAAGCAACATTGTTTCTGCTTGGACCTCTTCCCCACATACAGCCCCACAACACAGCAATGTGAGTAGCCCCACCCTGGCAAATACCTAAGGCTACGCCCCTCACTAGAACCAGGTGTGCCAAGACAAAAAAAAAGCCCAAATGAAAGACAGATCGAAGCTCCAGAAAAAAATACCACTAAGCGATGAAGTGATAGCCAGCCTATTAGATGCAGAGTACCAGAACACTGGTAATCAGGATGCTCACAGAAATGGTTGAGTAGGTTGCAAAATAGAGAAAAAAGTGAAGGCTTTGAAAAATGAAATAAAGGAGAATGTACTGGGAATCAACAGTGAAGGGAAGCAAATGAGTTTTCAGATCAACAGTTTGGAGTAGAAGGAAGAAATAAACATTCAACCAGAAGAGAATGAAGAAACAAGAATTCAAAAAAAATGAGGAGAGGCTTAGAAACCTCTGGGGTAACTTTAAACATTCCAACATCCAAATCATAGAGGTGCCAGAAGGAAAAGAGAAGCAAGAAATTGAAAACTTATTTGAAAAAATAGTGAAGGAGAACTTCCCTAATCTGGGAAAGACAACAGACTTCCACGAAGTCCAGGAAGTTAAGAGAGCCCCAAAGAAGTGGGGCCCAAGGAAGCACACACCAATGCACATCATAATTACATTACCCAGGATTAAAGATAAGGAGAGAATCTTAAAAGCAGCAAGAGAAAAGGAGACAGTTACCTACAAAGGAATTACCATAAGATTATCAGCTGATTTCTCAAAAGCAACCTTATACGCAAGAAATGGCTGGAAAAAAGTATTTTAAGTCATGAAATGCAAGGACCTACATCCAAGATTACTCTATGCAGCAAAGCTATCATTTAGAATGGAAGGTCGGATAAAGTGCTTCTCAAACAAGGTCAACTTAAAGGAGTTTATCATCTCCAAGCCCTCGTTATCTGAAATGTTAAAGGGGCTTATCTAAGAAAAAGAAGATTAAAAAAATGAACAGTAAAATGACAACAAACTCAGAACTATCAACAATGTAACCTAAAAAAAAACAAAACAAACTAAACAACTACAACAGGAACAGAATCATAGAAATGGAGATCACATGGAGGGTTATCAGCAGGGAAGGGGGAGAAGGGAGAATAAGGGAAAAGTACAGGGAATACAAGCATAAATGGTAGGTACAAAATAGATGGAAAATCGCATAGGAAATGGAGAAGCCAAAGAACTTATATGGATGACCCATGGATAAGAACTAAGGGGGTAAAGGGGAATGCTGGTGGGGGGGGTGCAGGGCAAAGAGGAATAAAGGGGGGGGGGATGTGACAACTGTAATAGCATAATCAATAACATATATTTAAAAAAAAGAAAATATTGCCAATCCAAGTTCACATAGATTATCACCTACGTTTCCCTTTAAGAATTTTATTATTTTAGCTTTTGCATTTAGATCTTTGGTCCATATTGAGTTTATCTGTAAACGGTGTGAGGTTGGGGTCCAGACTCCTTCTTTCACATGTGGCTATTCGGCTGTCCTGGTACCATTTGTTAAAAAGCTATTCTCTCCCACTCAATGGCCTTGTCACCCATGTCAAAAACAGGTAAGCATAAATCACAATGCTCTTTTAAATACCTCGGTAACATTTCAATCCTATCAGCCAATCTTTCATTTTAAGATAATAAATATACTTCTAAGTCAACTTTCAGGCTTAATAAAAACAATTTCAAGTTTTTTATTATGGGGATCATAATTTCATTATCTGAAAATAAAAGAATGCTAATCTTTTTAAATAATCTACTCAGGAAGTTTGTTTCTACTGCAACATCTGATAGATGGAAAAGATGAAATATTGTTAGGAAAATCAACATTGCCAGGATTTCCCTCCCTCCCTATTTATTCATAGAGAGAGGAAGGGAGGGAAAAAGAGAGGGAGAGAAACATTGATGCGTGAGAGAAACATCAATTGGTTGCCTCTTGCACGCCCCCCACCAGGCACTTGGATGGCAACCCAGACATGTGCCCTGACCGGGAACCGAAACAGTGACCTTTTGGTGTGCATGATGACACCCAACCCATAGAGCCATTGCCAGGATTTCTGACATGCCACAGACACTATGGAAACATATTAGCATTAATACAAAATACCACTTTGAATACTGTATTTATTTACTTATACACTAAATCAAGCAGAGAAGGATTTAAAGCAGTTTACACAGGAGATTAAAAATAAGTATACAAGCAGGGAAAGAAAAATAAGGGTAGGTAGCTACAGGAACTATAATATACTGTAACATGCTAATATAGAAGTTAAAGGTTTTAAGTAGCTAAATGGCTAAGTTATCTATCACTG